GATGCTTCCGTCTGCTCCAACAGTTTTCTTGCCTGAAAAAAACAAACCAAACCGAAATGAAATAAAAGGAGCGGTGAAATGCGGCCCTGGGGCTCTGCACCTGCAGGGATGTCGGCACCTTGCTCCTCTTGCCCTCCCGGAGCATGTGGGGTTTGGATGGGGCCCAGGCACTTGTGGGCTGCTTTGATTTATTCAGTGCCAGGTGAGCGTCCGAGCAAGAGCTGAGCAAGGGTCTGAGGAGCTGAGCAGCCTCGGAGGGACTGGGGAGAAGTCCCCCGGAGGTGTTTGCTGCAAGGGAGGTCCCTGTCCCCCAAACCAGGGAGGGGAACCCACCAGGACCTGCTGGAGGAGCACTGAGTGCAGCGGAGGCCGCTGCCCGGGGTCAGACCGGCTGCGCTTCGACAAGGTTTTGTGTCTCGTGCCCTCGACACGTGGGTCCCCGGCACGGCTCCCAGGGATGCCCCCAGCCACATCCCAGGCTGGGCGCAGTGATGACGAGGCCAGCGCCGTGTCCTGGCCACCCCGTCCAACCCCAGGTGACAACAGAGCCCGCTGGGTGCCCTGCCAGGGTCTGCGTTGGGCACGGCTTCCCTCCTTGCCTGCTGTCATTTGGGGTAAGCTCATCTCTCTCGGCTTTACCTGGAGTAACATCCGACACGTTCAGAGACGGGGTTTGTTCAGTTACTAACAATGTCCCTACAGCACAAGGAATGTTTTAAGCTCCCCAACAGATGACGCCAGCCGGCTCCTCGTGCCACACCACCCCCAGCCCGGAGTGCAGTGCCACGGGGAAACACGAACACGTGCTCTCACCCGCAGAGAAAAACCCATCAACGTGCCCAAGCGGGAGGGTGCCCGCAGTGTGGGGCTTCTGGGCCTTTAGGCACCGAAAAACAAGGTTAAATGGTAAATATGGGTTGTGTTCTACGGCCCACAAACCTCTCACGCACCTGGGCGCGCAGCCAGCGCTGCTCCAGCGTTTTCAGCACGGCCCTTTGGCATCTCAGTTTCAGCTGCCACGGTGCCCACAGGCTGGGCCAGAAGATTCAGCAGAGGAGGGGAAAGACGCCTTGTGCTGTGGAAACTTGTTCTTTGCTTCACAGATCGCAAATCTTTAATAAAAGCCACATTTCCCCCGCATATTCCTCCCGATGAGCAAAACCCACCCAGCAAGCAGGACTGAGGAACCCTGCACGCTACGAAGTGGAGACTGAACACAACCCTGAAACCCATTTCCCTGATCTTGCACCCAGGGCGGGGGCACAACGTGCAACCAGGAGAGCTCAGGGACCATCCCACCCAGCTGCTCTCGGCGGTGCCAGCACCTCTGAAGCACACAGGGATGACGCACCCCAAGGGCAGCAGCCACGGTGCTGGGAGGGAGACGTGTATTTCTGCCAGAAGAACGCAATCCCACCGGTGCCTGGGTACTCCACTCACTTCTCCTCCAGGACTGAACAGCTTGCCCTGAAAAACTACTACGCCTCATCCATCTACAGCATTCTTTATCCCGCAACAAAATTATTCCACACAATTTAAGAGTCCCAGACAAGGGTAAGCAGACCCTGGAGCCTTCCTCCCACATAAGCCAAAGCAGACAGCATGAACACTTGCTTTGGGGCAGGGTCCTGCTCAGCGCAGCCAGCTCCAGACGCCGCGTTCGCCACACAGAGAGACCCAGACAGCAACGGGAGCCAAGAGCCCCCCTCCCAAAACCTCCCAGGGCCGCAGAGGAAGACCCAGCGCACGGGAGATGGTGCCCCGCAGACTGGCGAGCTTCCTGCCCGCCCGCAGCGCGGGAAGGCTGATGCCAAGAGCGCTCTGCCCAGAGGAAAGCAAAGAGTTGGCACCAGCTGGAAAAGAGGACTGCTGGTTTTTATTACCCAGTGAAGTGGGCCCAGACACTCATGTACAGGAGGAAAAGCAGTGTGGGGAGCAGGCCCAGCCCCAGTTGTGGGGTGCACGGCCCAGGCCGCTCAGTGTGGAAAAGGACACCCGCTCGGGAAGAGGGAAGAGCGAAGGCCCCGAGTAGAGGAAGCACCCAGCAGGACGCAGAGGGCTGGGTGGCACTCGGGAGCTGAGCACAGCCACGGAGAAGCAACGCAGAGGGGAAAGCAGGGACGCTCGCAGCCTAGTTGCAGTTCTTGGGCAGGCGGTAGACACCTCCGGAGTAGATGAGTTGCTGGTCCCGGACCTTTTTCTGGAGGAAACCCTGCAGCTCTTGTATATCGATTTCTGTAACCACCGGGCCCGTCATCACAAACATCTTCAGCATGCTGTGAATCCTCTCCAAGGACAGGCTCTCCAGGTTGGTCAGCATCGCCTGGATGTACGTCCAGAACAGCTGCAGAGGGGCACACGCAAGCAATAGTAAACCACACGGATATCTACACCACGGAGCAAAGGGGAGCATCCCGTAGCCCAGAAGCAGAGCAGGGCTGTGGCTGGCAGCAAGTTCTGCTCTCAGCCACGAGCACGCGGTCTTTAACCAGGAAACATCCAAGAACAGCACCAGGTGTTGGGACAGCCAGCCAGGAAGCAGGATTTGACGTGCAGTACGTGCATGACCCTCAGTGGATAAACACCAGTACGACAACCGCGTGCTGCACCGTGGCACGACGCAACACGCAGCGTGACACACGCGCAGGAACAGCCCTGGAAACGTCCCGGAACCACAACACAGCGACGGCGAAGGTCCAGCTGTTAGTGGTGGGTAAGCCCTTTTGGCAGCCTAAGTGCCAAAAAGCACTGCCTGGGTGAATCCAAACACGTTTTGACTATTTTCAAACACGAAATCATGTCTCAGACTTTTCCTTTTTTTAAACTGCAAAAAACACATTTAGAGGTGCCCAAATGGCTGCGTGGCTCAGCAGCTGGGCACCTCTCTGGGGGGAAGGCTGCGATCCAGCACCCGCACCAGTGAGCATTAATCAAGAGACATCCCCTTCAAAACAAAACTTGTGCTGGACTTAGCCCCTTGCAGTGGAAAATGCAAATCCGAAGTGCAAACTGAATCCGTCATCTTAACCAGGCTCCCCAAAGCCAAAAGCAGGGCGTGTTTGCATCGACCTGCCGGCTCTGCACCCAGCTGAGACACACGGACGGGTACCTGCAGCTCTTCCTCCTTCTGGTCAGCCTGCGACGCCATGGCAGAGTCACCCTCCTCGTCGCTGTCTATCAGAACGACCTTGTCCACCTGGTCCTTCTGCTCCTCCTCAATCACGGTGAAGGTGCCTTGGGGCTCCTCACGCAGGACACCCTGCTGCAGCCACAACGTCATCTTCCGCTTCAGCGATGTCACGGGCACCTTGAGCACCTCACTCAGCTCTGTCAGCGTCCACGTGCCTGCAGAGACCACGGATACCAGAGAAAAGCACAGGACGCCTGCCCGCCTCCAGCACGCCAGGACTTCATATGAGGATGGGGAAGGCTGGGGAGCCGCTGCCAGCAGCAGGCAGCTGTGTGCAGCGACTGCCTGAAAGCAGGCTGGGTGCCGAGCTGCGGCCCTGCTGCGTGCTGTCTCCCAGGAGAGCTGGAGACCTGGCCGAGCCTTGTGGCAGATCCAAGCCCATGAACCAGCTCTTGGTCCTGCTGCCAGAGCTCTCGGAGCCTTCAGCCACCCAAGCAACGTGGCCTTCCCACCCACGGGCGGTAACGTGCCTCTGGCACGGCACTCACTCTTGGTCTGGAAGTGCAGGATGATGGCAGCATGCACAGGAGAGACGGAGAGGGAGAGGGTGCGATCTGCCAGCTCCACGTCCAAGCTCACCAGGCCCAGGTGGTACTTCCAGTTCAGGGTCCTCATGGCCTGGGAAAGGGAGAAGCAGCCACTCACAGCAGATCTCCTAACAGGAACCCCTAAGGGCTGCGTTACTGCAAACGCCCCTCTTTCACCAGGGCCAGCTGCTCTCCACACACCTCTGCCAGATACGAAAGCTACTCCCCTCCTCACGAGTCACCCAGCCATCCCCCCCCCCTTTGTGGGAAACATCATCCTCGGCACAAGTTGTCCAGCCCTTGCCCAAGACCAACGCCCCTCTCCTGCCTGAAAGCCAGTCACTCAGCTCGCGGTGGGGTAAGCACAGGCTGAGGACACACTGGAAAACCAACCGGGCCACTCAGGACAAACTCCTGCCGGAAAACAAATACCCATCTGCGACAGGATTTCCTCGGAAGAGAAGCAATCTCTTCTGGTACCGATGTGAAAAGAGGCCTGCTTGCTTTGAAGGCTGAGGGTGCTCGAGGAGGCTGCTTCCTGCCCGCATCCCCTCCTAACTAATTTTTTTGCAGACACCGAAATCAGCTGGCATCCACACCTGGCACGCAGCTACAGGACCTAGAGCTAGGAGCTTCCCAGCCTCGTGGCATCTGGCACCTGGTGTATAACAACAAGTTCGAGAAAGGATACAGAAAACCAAGCCTGAAGCGGAGTTAGAGCACAAGAGGACAGGCAAAGGGGAACATCTGCACGAGACACCAAGCTGTGTTCAGGCTGGCTGCAAAGAACCGTCTGCGTGTGCACACCGACACTACGCTGGCACGACAGCTAGATCGGAATCATCCACACTCCAGATGCGTGCTCTGCACTCCACCAGATAAGAAGCTGCAAGGTGAGAAAGCCAAGACCACAGCTCTGGACGTGACCTAGATCTCTCCTTGACGTCCAGCCAGATGCTCCTGCTCCCAACGCTTGCTGTACGTGCAGAGCAAGGTGTCCCTCAGCCTTCTCTGTTTGACAAACTGCCACGATCAAGTGCCCGGAGAAGGGGAGAATGCTGCACGGTTGCTTGTATTTGCTCTGCGTGCCTCTCTTCCACCTTTCCGTGCTGTTTATAAAGGCATGGATTCAGTCTTTGTCTGAGCCACAGTCAAACTGGCCAAAAACGCTTGCTGCTGAACTAACACGGAGTTCAGGGAGCCTCCAGGAACAAACGAAACAACGCAGGAGAGACTACAGAGAGAAGAGGAAGAGACACTCGCCTAACTCCAGACTAACAACGAACCTTAAAATGAGACCATGTTGACATAGCTTCTTTCCAAGAGGACAGACAGGGGAGGAGAGTGCCAGAGCACCAGAGAGGCCCAGCAGGGACAGGAGGCCACTCTCTCTACGAGAGAACTCAGGCCAACAAGCTTAGACCAGACTCGAGGTGCCTAAGAACTTCCACCTCAGTGTCCGTTTAACTAACAAACACCAGCGCATTTCAGAAAACTCTTCCCTAACTGCAGTCCCCACGATGACCCAGGCACCCCGTCAAGAGACAAACCCTTTCTCCAGCAATAGCTAAACCAGTGCAGCTTCTAACCCCAGTTCCAAGCCGAAGGACTTTGGGAGTCCACCCTGACAGTGTCAGTGTACTGGCAGCTAAAATTTAAAGGATGAAGGGATGTTAAAAGGGATTTTGCAAAAACCATGCCACACAACAAAGTCTGAACGGCACACACCTTTTTTAAGGAGGGTTAAGGTCGCCTCACCTTTAACTTCTCATACTTCTTGGAATAGGCTTCCATGGCTTCCTTGACCTGCTCTGGAAGCTCCAGCTTCTCCTCTTTCAGCGGTGGCCAGAACTCACTCGACAGGATAACAGCGACAAGGCTGAACGGCGGCCTTTCCTCCTCCGGGAGCTTCTCTTCCTCGTCACGAATGTTGGCATTAATGCGCCGCGAGTCAGCCATATCCTGGAAAAGGCAGAGCAAGCTCAGGCAGCTCCTTCTCTTCGACGTCAGTGCTAACCCTTAGTAAAGCAGAAGCTTAAACAAGGTGACCAGCTTTGTCTCCAGATGATGATGGGGACACTGAAAGGACATGACCATGTGTGTCTACTAGAAAGTCTGCTACATACTCAGAAACATTTGTGGGCAGGTTGAGGAAGGGCTGGCGACTCAACACCGGAATCCCTCCAGACCCGAGTTCTTCCCACAACACTCCAAGTGAATTAAACCCCAGAGTCCCAACCCTAGAGCAGCTGGAAGAGCCCAGCTCTTCCATACCAGAACACTGTACTGTGGGAAGGGCAGGAGAGCCAAAAGGACCAGAGCAACCACCCCCCAGAGTCGATAACCCAACCCACAGGGTTTAAAAACAGACATGACACTTCTGCCTGTCACAAATCTGCCCCCTCAGTGCGATTTTGGGAACCCCACATTCCTCAAAGAGCCTTTTTGGATCACTCCTCAAGTCCCTCCCCTTCCCCAATGAGCTCAAACACCCAGGACTTGAATTTTTTAAAAAAAAAAGAGAAAAAATAGTTACTTTTAACATGACTTCACAATAGTGCATCTGAGCTTCACCAAACCGCAGCTTCAGCAGCTCCACGTTGCGGATTTCCCTGATAAGAGAAACAACAGATCAGACACAGGTCACTCAGATAACAGGGCCTGGCTTGGCCTCCACCCCTTGCAACATGGCCAAAAAACGTAGTCCCTGGCACCGGGGTGCTCTTCCTAGGAAGGCTTGCAAGGCAGTTACCTGAACAGGATGTCTCCCAGCACCCCAGGGAGGAACAGTCACTTCCCCTGGAGGCCAGCAGCTTTCTGAAGACCTGCCCATCCCTGTCATTCGGACGAGCACGGCACCTAGCCATCCCCTCGCCAACGCACTGCATTTGGTGAGCCCCTTGCCTGAGGCCGCCCACCCCAGACGTGGGTCACACTAACTGCATCTTGCAGAAAGGAAAACCACCGCAGCTGTTGAATTGAGAGACAAGTTGGGTGGCGACAGATTTCCTGATGCTTCATCCCTTTTTCATACTTTGACGCTTTCGGCTGACCCTAAGCAGCCTGTGAGGGCCAGCAGAACGTGTGAGAAGGAGCTAACAGGGTGTTGGTGCCTCCAGTCTCCCACACGCTGCCCTGTTAGTGCAAGCCAAGTGCAGGACTGAGCAGGAAGCAGCCCGAGCAGAGGGGACCACATGAAATTCTAGATGCAAACCCAAAGCTGCAGAGGAAATTGCCAAAGACATTCCTGGCTCCAGAAACAGCTGTTCACAGTACCGAGTCTGAGGGACACCTTTCTCAGGTGATTTGACCTGGACAGCCCGGGAGCTGGGCATTTGGACCTCACCTCTCTGCACTGTAGTTGAACTGATGTAGCAGCCGGTCAGCCAGCAGCGTGCGGTATTCGTTGATGAACAGGTCCTTGCTGCCATAGATGCTCACCAGCAGGCTGATGATGTCCGAGGACCGACGCTTGGAACTTGATTTTCCTAGTGAAATCCAGCAGACGACAGGGCGAAATTAACAGCGACCTGCCCGGCCCAGCCCAGCTCCAGAGGACCAGCAGAGGAGCTGCTCCAGACTGCAGCCGGCCGGGGAGAACAGTGGGCTGCCAGGACATCTGGCCTTGGCATCTAACCTGGATCTGCATCAACCGGGTCAGGAACCCAGTCCCCTGGTTCCGAGATGTCATCGTCACTCTCCTGCCCGTTCTCCAGGGTCACCGGGTCAGCTTTCGAGAGCTCGTTTGCAAGATCACCGGAGCCCTCAGCATCCCCTGTGAGACCGGCCACGATCTGCCGCACCGTGTCTTCCCGAGTCCTGCCAACAAGGAGGAGAAACAGAGCAAGTGAAGGGAAGAGGAGGGGAAGGGGATGCGTCAGGCTGCCCTGCAAGCCAAGCCTCTTACCTCAGATACTTCCGGATGGGCTCGCAGGCGACCTCCAGGATAACCATGGAGGGGTCAAGCTCCCGCAAGGCCTTGATGGCGGAGATATACAGAGTGATGATGTCAGATGTGTTGACTCCTACAGGAGAGGGGCAGAGGGAGTCAGAGTCCCAGGGCACAGACTGATGGCTTGGATGTGAGCAGCTCGGATGCTCCGAGCCCTCTGTTCCATCTGTGGAGTCGGAGGCGAAGGGCTTGCTGCCCTGCTGCCCCAGCCAAGGGGAGAGATCGGATCCGTACAGCTGAGAAACCAGTTCCAACCGAAACACAGCCTCAGAGACCACCAGAAATCAGCTGAGCCCCGACCACGTGTTAGGAGCTCAGACCACACACAGCCACGAAGCCTCTACCCACCCAGACTGAAGCTAAACTTCCAACTCAGCTCCTCACCGCGCTGCAAGAAAAAGGGGCTGGGATACGATCAGCTCCTGCTGCCCGTGCACACTCGAACATGAGATGTGCATGGTCTGAGTGCCTCCCGCTCGTCAAGCACGAGATCAGATGATGGCTCCCAGGAGATCCCCACTCATGCCCCGGCTCCGTACAGTGCTAGCACACGTGCGGGGATGCCAAACTCACCTGGATGCAGAAGTCGCATTTCCAGAGCGCTTTTCAGGGAGCTGAGCAGCTGCTGCCTCTGATTCGTCCTTTCCAGGCAGAACTTGAGGTCCTCCACAGCAGGCTTCGACTCTGGGAAGTCTACAGACCAAGCAGTGATTAGAAAGAGTGCCACGCTCCGCGGGAAGGCAAGAGGAGACAGCGTGGCACATCAGGAGATGAAGACAGATCTGTCACTCATCCAGTCCAAGTCCAGGAGTGCCTGGACACCGAACGGGTCACACCTACCTCGAATAATGCTGAAGAGCTCTTCAATGCGCATGCTGGCATAGATGCGGTAGAAGAACCTCTGGACGTGGCACCGCCAGCACTTCAGGGTGCTGCTAGCTTCCGGAGAGGAGCGCGCCAAGGGACCCTCTTGCAGAAAAACCCTGCTGAGCCAGCCAATCACCTTCTCAATCCACTGCGCAAGGGGAGGGAGAGCACAGCGACGGTGACAACCACAGCTGGGCGCAGGGCCACGTCCCACGCTTACCCACGCTTCGCGGCAAGCAGAAACGCGCAGCTGGGCAAGGACAGCGCTGCCTCCTGCTGCTCCCCAAACGCAGCCTGGCCGGGGTCACGGCCGGGGTCACAGCCGGGGAAAGCCTCGCTGGGGGAACATGAACTTCAACCAAATACACATAATATGGACTGTGCAGATGTGCAGGAGGAGACAAGGGGTGACTGAGGACTGTGCATGGGTGCTGGGCTCCAAAAAGGACAGGATATACAAAAAAACTTGCAGACTATTCTGTTCTTGTAGAATTCCACTCCATTCTATACTTGCAGCACGATTCTCTTTATGAGAATATGAGCAAATTGCCCACCACACCATCCTTGGCCTCGGATTTCTACGATTCCTGAAATCAGTGAAGAGCGAGCGACCCATCCCAAGGACTCACAGACAGCAACCAAACTCAGGCACTGGAAACGAAGACCTCCAATACCAGCCTAGTCACTGAACACTAAAATAAAGACCTGAACAGAGAGCAGCAGAAGGTTAATTTTTTATACTTGAGATTTAGTTTTCTACAGAGAAATGTGTAATTGTAAAATTTCAAGGGTACTCCGCTACAACATCCAGATACTCAAAAGCAATGCTTTTTTTAAATTTTATTTTTCCTTTACAGTGGCAAACGTGTTCCTCGGACAGTAGTTGAGTACTAACAGATAGTAAATATTAATCTTTTTTATAACTGGATTTGTATAGCCTGAAACAAAAATGCTAAGTCCAGATCTGGTTTGGTTATGCTAATTTTTAATTATCCACTTGACTGAGGAAACACTGACGGAATGCACCAGCTCTGCTAATCACCAGGCAGGGCAAACCTGAGAACTACAGAACACCTGGGCATCGAGCGGGGCAGAACCGCGGAAAAGCTGGCAAAGGGATTCTCCTGCAGAACACCAGGGAAGGACCAGAACTGATGCACAGCAACTCAGTCCTCAGGAACACAGTCGCTACTGAACCAACCCATTTTTCCCCGCGGGTTTATCTTCTGCGTGCTCCTGCTCTAGCCTGCTTAGCAACTGACCCTCCAGACTGCCGCCCTGCTGTCCCCTTCTGCAGCGGGCGTTTGCTGGCAGCACCTGCGCTGGCAGCTTGCAGCCCTCTCCTGTTTTACCTTTAGCTTGCCAGGCTTGTGCTTTTTTCCTTAAAAATATCTCTTCCTAATTTTGACGGGCTCCAGTATTCTGTGGCCAAACGCGCTGTCCTTTCTGAAGAGGTGGGAGCAAGGGGACCTTCTGCAACGTCTGCCGAGCAGAATGCAGTTCCATTCTCTCCGGTGCCCTTAAAAGGTCCTTACGCAACCTCAGGTCACCCAACAGCATTTCACCCTAGGTCCAGTACACAAAGCGCTGCACAGCAACTAAAGGGAAGTAAATACAAAATGACTGCTGACGTTTGCAGACAACAAAACCGGCCGGCGTGGCAAACAGCACAGGAACCAGGACAACCACAGAGCGCGGTCTGGACTGCACGGCTGCCTGACTTCACGCGTTCTTAAACACGGGCAAAGGCAAGGTCACGCTTCGAGGAACAAAGCGCGCGGGGCAAGCCTGCAGCGCCAGGGCTGTATCCTGGAAGAGCCATAGCCCAGAGAAGAATTTTATGTTGAAGTCATACTGGATAAACAGCCCGACACAAACTCAGTTTAAGGCAGCAGGAAAACAACTGGGTAGCTGCAAGGAAGGATTTTAATTCTGTATGTGGCCCACTGGCGAGGTCAATACCAGAGGATTATTTCCCATCTTTGCTTCCTATTTTAAAGGGATGCTGAAAAATTGGAAAGAAAACAGCCAGACTGATTCCAATCCTGGGCCCACCTCCACAGAGGGAGGGTCCTCTGCAAGCTCGGCGGCACTACCGTGTTCTTGTAGTCTGCAAAAGGGAACTGCAGAAATCCCCTCATTACTACGGATGCCACAAGCTGAAATACGCCACGTCACGGTCCCCTACGCACAGGTCAGAGCAAACCCTCCCCTCCAGCACCAAGCACACCGGGGAGCGTCAGCCGCCTCTTCTGCCGGGGCGGCGGGCGCCACAAGCCCGGCACCGGGGTTTTCCA